TATCCTGCTAGAAAATAATTTTCCTCTCATAAGCACATGTAATGTGAAAAATGTGCGGCATTTCCAAAAATGTTGTTATTTTATGCAACTAAATTTAAATCAATGAGTTTCATATTAGCTCAAATCACCTCCCTTGTACTACTTAAAAAGAGAGACACATGCCCTATATTTTTCTCCCCTGTACCAGCCGTTATGTACGGCACTGCGAAAAAAGTAATTTAAATAATGATCCAAAACAATGTGTATGAATGCCGTACTGTATCAAATTGCCGAAAATGGGGTCAAAATTTTCAGAAAATCAAAGATTGTCCCTACTGCTGGTACCAATATTTTTGTATGGCTTTAGGTCGCAGGTCATTATTTTTGTATTAACTACCTCAGTTATAAATGCCGTTCACATATGTTTGAACAAAATGCCTCTGCATGTTCATTAATTTCGCAAATATATGTACATAACTAGTATAAGTAACATAACGTCATTACTGAAAATAAACAGATATTTATTTTTCCCTCATTCTACTAATGCCTCGACATATACGCCTTCTCGTTCAATAAATTTATTCATTCTCTTAGCAAATTCACGTAATACATTTCTTATCATTTGTGGAGAAATTTCCTCGCATGTTTCTAAATATATTCTTTCCAGCTTCTTGAAACTATAGTTCTATACATAAGAAATAATCAAGGAGGGTTAGGTAAGGGGATCTAGCAGGCCAAAAAATATCAGAACATCTATAAATAATTTTTCCATGGAACATACGTTTAAGATACTCCCTAACCCTAAAAGGCATTTGATCATGTTAAGCACTCTATATTGATCGAAGTTCTAAGAGGCATTGGCTTGAATGACAGAGTCTCTACGTATAATTGCAAATTAATATTAAAAAATGAGTACGACAGGGATGTCTTTTGCCGCACTGCTTTTCAACTTTCATCCGAAAGAATTTTTAGAAATGCAGTTTTCATCAACAGAGGGTGAAGCCATCAACAATTTCCGATATGCGGACGACACAGTGCTCTTAGCATCTACTCAAGAATAACTACAAACATTATTTGTCAGTATCATTGAAAGCTGTAAGGAAGCAGGTCTGGATATGAACATAACTAACCCTTAGCTTTAAAGCACTTATCTTGATGTTGATTGATGTTCTTGTTAATGCAGTTCGTCCGTGAAATGATTGATAGGAGTTTGTAAAAACTGCAAATAGTGGTCAACGTTCATAGCTTGGCGGAAAAAAGGTCCTATTAACCTGTTATTATAAGTGCCATACCACACGTTCGTCCTAAATGAATATTGGGCACCAGACTTAATACTAAAATTTGGATTTTCGTCAGACCACCAGCGACAATTTTGTGACAAGACCGTCCCACTTGATGAAAATGTTGCTTCGTTGGGAAAAGCTATTTGCCTCGTAAAAAAAAGCTCTTCTAACTCTTCTTAGAAACTTAGATAGACTCTTAAAAAAAAAGTCTTAGATAGATACTTAGAAAAAAAAATTCTAAATAGGGAATTTCGAACTGAAAAAATAAAAAAAAGAAGAAAGTTAGCTTGGGCAGCATTCGGTAAACTGAACTATATACTCAGAAATCAACAAATTCAATTACATCTTAGATCTAAAGTTTTTGATGCATGCATTATTCCGATATTAACTTATGCGGCACAAACATGGACAATCACAAAAAAGAATATGAATATACTTAGAGTCACTCAACACGCGATGGAAAGAGCAATGCTAGATATATCACTTAAGGACAAGAAAACAAACACATGGATAAGACAGAAAACCAAAGTCACCGATGTGGTGCAAAAATCATTAAAGTTGAAATGGTAATACGCTGGACATGTAGCTAGGAGCGATCTAAACAAATGGCACAGATCAATTTTAACCTGGAGACCATACCAACACAAAAGACCCAGAGGCAGACCTCCTATGAGATGGACAGATGATCTGAAAAGGACTGCCGGGAAAAATTGGCTACAAGTAGCGTACAATAAAAAACAATGGAAAGGAAGATTTGAAGAGGCTTATGTTCAGATGTGGACGTGAATGGCTAGACGAAGAAGAAGAACTCTTCTTGGACGAGACAGCAAAAATTAAAGCGCCTATCAAAATCCCTTTCTTTCACTGTGTGAATGATTTTTGGTCGAAATGGCTTGTATTTTTTTAGTTTCAAAATTCTTGCTATTGTATTTTTACTTACGGTTTGTTGTTTCAACGATTTCCTTTTATCCAATGAGAGTTTTAGATTTTGTATCATTCTATCATTACTTCAAAGTGCATATTCTCATCGGCAACCAGCTTTTTGCGTTTTCCATTAAAATTATTTTTTATACTTCCAGTACTCTTAAATTTATTTACTATTTTCGTAACGGTGGAATGATTTATATTTTTATTGGGATGTCTATTACTAAAAATAATAGCTGCCTCTATGTGTATTATAATGTTCTCCCACAGACAAAACAATTTCAATTTTATCTTCTGTAGTGCAGCCATTTCTAGTAAGATTTATAAATACTTTTTAACAAATTTGTCTAAATACAACTTATGTTTTGAAAGTAAATGTCAAACATATCTTGCTATAAACAAACCATATGTTTATAAGTGCTTTCTAGATTTCACGTAACTACATTTAAAGTTGCAATGATATTGTAGACAAAAATGTGGATATGTCGAGGCATTAGTAATATGAGGGAAATAAATATCTATTTATTTCCAGTAATAATGTTATGAACACATTTTTTAAACACAAAGACGTACATAAATATACAAGAGAAGTCAAAAGTAGAGGCGAAAGATCTATCATAGACTATGTGTCAGTAAATAGATCATCGAGGCAATGTATTAAAGACGTAAGAGTAAAACGAGGAGCTGAAATATATAGTGACCACTATCTACTTGTAGCCAGGACCAGCTTGGGAGAGCGACAAGAATCAATAACGAAAGAGAACAAGAAAACAAGTAAAGCTTGCAGATAAGAAGACAGCAAACAAGTTTAAAAACTACGTTAATAACTACCTAACTGTATGTAACTGTAACAAGTATGCGGAATAACAAGAAATAACAAAAGCAAAAAGAGTACAAACTGGTGGAACCATGAAATAAAAGCTGAAGCATTAGTCTAACTAATGTTTGTATTTTGAGAACGATTTCCGAAGTGGAAATTGAAACGTCAATAAACGTAATTAAACCTTTAATTGTGGCTTATTCCCATTTAGATAGTAATTACTTTGAAGAAAATTAAAAAAATATATTAACATATTGTCTCTGATATTCCAATTATGCAATTTTGATATAATATTAAATCGCCAGACAGTATCATAATCTGCGCTACAATCGTGATCATTTGCAAATGCTTCATGTATTCCTGACTCAAAGTCTATTAGGTTATCTATAGTGGATCGATTTTGCCTTAATCTGCTTTGTTATGGAATGAGAAGTTTTTTGTTGTTCTAAATACCATCTCAGCCTTTTATTTACCATTTTCTGTAACATTTTACATATAATATTGGTTAAAGATATTGGTCGATATGACTCGATGATGTCCGGGATTTCTCAGGTTTAAGAAGTGGTAGTATTATTGCTTCGGACTAAGTTGATGGGAAAGCATGGTTACTCCAGATAAAATTATAAAGGACTAGTAATAAATTTTTCTTATTGTCTGGTAGATGTAAGTAGTACAAATGCTAAGGAGATACTGTCTGGTCCTGGGCTTGAATCTTTGGACGAGTTTAAGGCTTAGCAAGTTTGATGAAGGAAAAAGGAACGTTAAGGTTGTGAATTTCATGTCCGTCGAATCCTAATATGTTTTTTTACGTTGTTTTTATGTATTTTTAAATTATCAGTGTAATTCTCATCACTGGAGTTTATTCGTATTGATCTGAATATCTACGATTTCTTTACTATCACTAATTATTTAGTTATTTTTTGCTAGAAAATGAATCTTGTATGGTTGGCTCTTGCCAGAGATTTTCCTTAAGTTTCTCCAAATTGTACTTGAAGAGGTATTGAGAAACGAGATGAATTTTTTCCAGGATTCTTTTCTATTCTTTTTTAGAATGTATCTTGCCTCAGCTCTTAGTTTTTTGTAGTCCGGTATGTTTTCGTCTGTTTTATGATGTTTTAGCCTATTGAAAGCTTTCTTATACACTCTTGTAGCTTGGCTGCATTCAGGTGTCCACCACGGAAGAGGTTTATGTTTCTTTAAAATTTTCTGTAAAATTTGTGTGTATGTATCATTCTGTGATGGTTTGTAAAAATGTACTTAAAAACTTGTCAATATCGTTTGATGATGTGAAGTTGGTTTGGTTAATGTCCTGTTCGATCTGTTTGGTAAAGTTAGTCCAATCAGCATTTTTAATATTCCACTTTGGCGATAGGCGATTCGATATTTGTAGTTTTCCGATGCGTTAAAGAAATTTTAATGGGCTAGTGGTCACTACCATATAAGTAGGGTATGCATCTGATTCCAGTAAACGAAAATATCTCTAGATATCCCTATTTTACTCAAACGTAATTCTTGCATTCAGATAAAGAGAATTATTTACTAATATAACATTTTACCGGAATTTATTTTGTAAATACATTTGGAAACTAAAGCATATCTAGAATTATTCCTCTTTACTCCATTGTAAACGTTGATTTTGTTCAATAACTCCTTTTTCACATGTCAAAATCTAATGGAATTATTTAGACTGTAGACATATCCTTTTACCCAAATGATGAGCAGAAAATTTATTTTATTTTCATATTTTTAACTCATTTCGGGAAAAAATTCGAGATATGCCCTTTTATCCGAGAGCAAGGGATTTCTAGCACCTTCAGTTTTATAATTAAAATTTTGTCTTTGATTACGATATTTTGTTTTCTGCTCTCATTTCCCATTTGACCTTTTTTCTTTGTTCATTCTAAATTATTATTATTGTTTTCTTGCAACTATCAGCTGGCCTTTTCAATAGTAATTCAAATGCTATTTTAATGTGTGAAATAATCTACTAGTAGTGAGTTTTAAAACAATTTATTAACTATTTAACAAAAGTATTATCACATTTTTAGATTACAATAACATTGCGTAAATTTTTATTGATTAGTTATTTTGTACTGCAATAAACAAACAATAAATAAAAAACATAATATATCAAATGAGATTAATGGGATCTACTAATAGATTTATTATACGTAATATCGCGATTACGCAATAAATGTTGTCTGATACTTTTTTTTAAAACATTTAGGATTTTTTTAAAAATTACTTAATAAAGAATTTTTTTGTCATTGACATTTCGTGAGAATGGTCAGTTTTCTGCACTTGTACATTAGGATCTGAAGAATTTTCGCGATTTGTACAGGTCACTACATAATAATCAAAAGAATAGTTCAGCAAATAGCAGGAGTTATACCCCAAACACACTTTATGATACCACAAGTGTTGCAAAAACCGTCATATTAAACTTATACAAAAGATTGCGGTATTATAGCCGGTTCTAATTACTGCGATATAAACGATATCCACTATAATAATTTCTTCATATTCTTGGAGTGCTTAAGCGTAACGATGTTTGATACCAATATTTTTTTTATTTAATCAAACTCCAATAGGAATCTTATGATTATTGCTATCTGATCATTCACTATGATCAATAAGCAAGTTAGTTCTATATACAAAATATTGATACTAATATGGCTATTTTGTTTTATTGATTGATGCCCTAAAAAGTCTTTTAGTATTACAAGTTAAAAAAATTTCTTGGCTTGTGCAGCTAAGATATCTCTCTTCTTCCTGGATCTTCAAACACCTTGCCTGTAGTATGATTGGAAACATATTTTATTCTACTATAGTTATGGCTTTTCCCAGGATAAATCGCAGAAAAACATGAAATATTGAAAGAAATTGTTAAATATTTCAATAACCAAATTTATTTATAAAAATATTGAAATATTGGTATGGAAAATTTTAGCTGATCCATAAAACGTATACACAAACATGGGAATATGCCAGTCACAACAATCAAGAATTTATAGAATGCCGCCCTAAATGTTCAGGAATTATTAGTGAAGGGTATACTGAATGCAATTCTAGCTTCCAAATTATAAATACTATTTATATTAAATGGTTTTATTAAAAAAGTTCCATTTTACCGATAGTGGAAAAAATATTGTGTATACTACGAACAACAAGCGATATTATTGCTCTTGCGTGACTGCCTAGCTCTACTTTCGTGCAGCCATACATTAACTGCAAAGATGCAGCACGAAGTCCGACTGAAATAAACAACCCTTACAGCCCAGAAATAACAAACAAAGAAGTAACTATGGCCATTAAGCGGATTAAAGATGGGGAATCACCAGGATCTGATGAGGTGGATGGTGAAATTTTAAAGCTATTATTGTCACACCAAATCACAGCTCTTACGAAGCTATTCTAACGATTCTAGCTATTCTAATTTCTAACGATACAAGAAGTGAAACGAACTCTAAAGGAAATGAAAAACAACAAGGCTCCGGAAGATGACCAAATAGTAATAGAAGCTGTTAAAGTAGGAGGCAAGAAACTGCTGGAAGTAGTAACTGAACTATTCAACCTATGTCTAAACCAAGGTATTGTCCCTACAAAATGGAACAATGCAATTACTATCCTAATACACAAAAAAGGAGATATATCAGACCTAGAGAATTATAGACCGATAAGTCTGTTGTCACATCTCTACAAATGGTTTACCAAGATCATCATAAAACGTTTAGAACGAAAATTAGATTTCTATCAGTCTAAGGAGCAAGCTGGGTTTAGGAAAGGTTATGGAACAAATGACCACTTACAAGCACTTAAAATACTAATTGAAAAATGTGTTGAATATAATAAACCACTCACGTTGATTTTCATAGACTTCAAGAAAGCTTTTGATACCGTGGAATTACCGGCAGTATTAGGAGCATTAGAAAAAAGCCGAGTAGACTATAGATATACAAATTTGATAAAACATATATACAACAACGCCACAGCATCTGTTAAACTCCATGACTTTACCGATAAATATAGAATTGAGCGAGGAATTAGACAGGGCGACACCATCTCCCCCCAACTATTCACTGCAGCTCTGGAATATGCCTTTAAAAAACTGGATTGCGCTAAAAGGGGAATAAATATTGATGGTGAATACTTAAGGCACTTGCGCTTTGCAGATAATATTGTCATTATAGCCGAGAGTTTAAATAAAGCTCACAAAAATGATGGAAGAAATAAAACAGACAATAGAACAAATAGGCCTGAACATAAACTTTGAAAAAACAAAATACATGACCAATTTAGTTCCAAGTGATGTTATGAGGGTAGATGGGAACGAAGTACATCAGGTCTTTAGCTATATCTATTTAGGGCATGAAATTAGAATAGGAAAAGACAATCAAACTTGTGAGATCCAGCGTCGCATAGGCTTGGGATGGGCAGCATTTGGCAAGATGCGAGATATTCTAAAAGGAACGCTATCGATTTGCTTGAAGAAAAAGATTTACAATCAATGCATACTGCCAGTAATAACATATGGTACCGAAACAATAACTTTAACCAAACATTCTGCAAATAAATTAAGAGTAACCCAAAGAAAAATGGAAAAAGCAATGTTGGGAATAACTAGAAGAGATATGGTACCAAATAGGATAGTGAGAGAGAGGACTAAAGTGACAGATGTCATAGAAAAAATTGCACAAGCCAAATGGAGATGGGCTGGACATATAGCACGTTTAAATGATAATAGGTGGACCAAAAGACTCATAGAATGGAGACCTAGAGAAGACAAAAGACACCGAGGCAGATCACCAAAAAGATGGATGGACGACTTGAGAAAAACAGTCGGAAATTGGATACAGAAGGCGCAAGATAGAGAACAGTGGAAGAACATGGAGGAGACCTATATCCAACAGTGGATGCAAGAGGTTGAGGAATTATGATGATGATGAACGTCAACTGATCTATTTCGAGCTGCTGTGAATCGAATAAGATGGGTCAATGTGGTCGCCAACAACTCTAGAAGATAGGCACATTTAGAAGAACAAGATGCAGTAACTGTTACCTTCGGCACAGACAGGATGTCTGTGCACCCGAAGCGTTTTAGTTATGAAGCAGTTAATTAGTAGAGACTAGACTGTTGCTTGCTGTAATTTCATTATTTGAATAGTGATGGAGCGTCCATTGAACAATGTGGTCGAAAATATTAACTACACTGATTTTGTAGAAAGTGTCAGAGCCAGTGCTGGTGTGAATGTTAATTCTTGAAAAAAAAGTAGCCATAAAGAAGATTCGAATCCATTTAAATGCTGAAATACAGCAATTATGTTTCAATGTGTACAAAAACTGTTGGTACAGCAACTTCTGATTTAACAGACATTCCATTTTCAACTTTATACAAGATAGTTTAAAATGAACCCTACCATAGTAAGAAGCGATGTTATTACAAATTTTCAAAACCTATTAATAATTCAAGCAGTCGGGATCTTCAATAAGAACGTTGTGAAAGGTCATTGTATATCAATAAGAAGAAGATGATAGTAACGCAGAAAATACGAAAGAAGGAGAAAAGGAATTAAGTGTATGAGTATGTGATTCCTTGTTAATTTTTGTGTTGTGCAAAATATTGAAACAAATTACAAGTGTAATAATGACAACACTCCTGTTTTAAAAAAAGTAAAGACCTAAGTAAAAAATGAATATTTGTAATTAGCAGAACTACCAGCCGCTGGACTATATCTTTAAGCAGAAGTATCAAAACCTATAAATCTGAGCGTTCTACTATATGTTTTACCGCAACTATACTTTGTGTTTTATAAAGTACATAAACAACTATTAAAAATTTTGTTTGTTTTTAATCAAAATTTAGTAAACGTTAAACATTACAATTGTTTATATAGTAAATATCTTAAAAACTACAACTTTCCTCTCACTTTTTAAATAATATAAATAGAAAATGTAGTTAACCTACGTTTCGGATTTTTCAACGTTGTTTTTATAGTTCGTTTAGAAATAATGTGGAATTATCCTTTTCGCTATTCTATCACGATATATTCTATCTTTTCTATTGCCTCACTTTGGAAACATATTAAAGATCAATTTAATTTTAGGTTATGTTCCAAAAGAATAACGACAAATTAGGGTGTGTTTTATTCCTAAGAGTGGCCAGATATACCAAAGTCATGTAGACATATCATCCTAGCCTTCTGTCTTCTGAAGAGTATAAAAATATACTCAACACTTACATACACAGTTAATGCTTGACAATAAGAGAAGCATTAGAAGCATTTTACAAAGATCTTACTGATACAGAAAATACCATAGTCCTCGGAGATTTTAACGATAAGCTCGGCAAAGGACGCTATTTGAACATTGTGGGGGATTATGGCTTGGGAAACAGAAACGAACGTGGAGATCGACTTGTCCAGTTCTGTCAAGAACACGATTTAATTTTATCGAATACTCACTTTAAACTACCATCGAGAAAACTCTACACCTGGAAGTCAAATGCAGAATCAGAGGACAAAATTATTAGGAACCAAATCGACTTTATTCTAATAAAAAATCGGTTTAGAAACGGCATCAAATCAGTTAAAACTTATCCAGGTGCTGACATTGGGTCTGATCACAATCCCATAGTAGTTGTAACCCAATTAAAACTAAAAAGGTGATCAAAAAGAAGTTTCGCAAAAATATTGATACAGCCCAATTACAAGACGAGAAAGTTAAGGAATCCGTTCAAAGACAACTGAACGAAAATTTAATTTTGGAAAATATGGGTGAAAACGTCGATGAGGGCTTTAATAAAATCGTAACAATAGTAAAAGAAATCTGTGTGAGAAATTTAAAAGGCAGTTCAAAGCTAGAAAAGCAGGCTTGGATGACAGATGACATATTGGATTTGATGGAACAACGGCGACTAGCGGAAAACAACGAAACACTTTACAATAGCATACAAAAAGAAATTCGACGTAAAATACGAGAAGCAAAGAGTCAATGTCTAGCCAAACAGCGTCATGACATTGAAGAACTTGAAAACGACACAAAGATACGACACGTTTAACATGTATAAAAAAGTAAAAAAAGTGGCTGGTGTCTTCAATAAGAAACAAATGGCATTGCTACAGGATGAACATGGTAGAGTAATATATGAAATAAAGGACAAACTTAAAGAATGGGAAAATTATGTCACGAACCTATTCGAAGACAATAGGAGTAGTTCACCTTCCGATATTACTAACTGCGACGGACGTTTAATAACACGCTCTGAGATTATAAAAGCCATACAATCATCAAAAAATTGCAGACTGGTCTTGATGAAATTCCAACTGAAATATACAAGCTTATAAATAATAACAATATTTTAGAGGCTATAACTTCGTTTTTGAATACCATTTATACCAGCGGACAACTACCTAATGGTTGGTCTAATTCACTGTTTATAGCTCTACCTAAGAAACAACAGCAAAAACCTGTGCTGATTACAGAACCATTAGTTTGTGAAATTGCTTATTGAAAATTTTTCTGAAGCTAATACATCCGTCTCAGCAAAACTACTGAGATCATAAAAAGCATCAAGCAGAGAAAGCTGGAGTATTTTGGACATGTAATGAGAGATCCCAAATATAGGTTACTACAAAATACCATGGAAGGAAAAATAGCACTGGCAGTGAATAAAATTAAGATAGCTATGATGGTAACCAATGTTTTAAAAGCACATGGTATAAGAAGAAGAAGAATGAGAGAAATTTACCCCTTCACGAAGATCGATTTGCCTATAATTAAGAATTCACCATAGATGCCTTGGGTTATTTTGTCATACATCTTAAAAAGACTAGGTAATAACATTGTTGCAAAAAGTGCGAAGACTTGCATGTTTAGTAAATATAAGTGCAATGAAATCGTGGCCTACTACAGCTTTAGAGGTACTTTTGGACTTTTTTCTTCTGTGCATACATATGAAAGTCTAGTTCTGAGTCAGGAACAAAACGAGTAGGGATAGAAGTTAGTGGTCTTAGAGCCAGACTATCCAGAGCCTACGGAAATACTTCTATATTGTCCTGTTTAAAATTAACTGAAAAAACACCTCATCTGAATTAAAATATTTGTTAGCTCATAAACCGGACAATACTCAAAATTTCATGGACATCGCATACCTCAAACGAAGAAGTGCTGCATATAATAGGCAAGGAAAGAGAACTTTTTAACACAGTAAAAGTAAGAAAAACATCATACCTAGGCCACATACTGAGAAATAATAAGTACCAATATGTCCAACTTATAGCGAAAGGAAAAATCGAGGGAAAGAGAGGCCTAGGAAGGAAAGAACTATAGTGGCTCAGAAACATCCGACAATGGACAGGGCTAAATTTTGAACAGCTAATAAGAACAGCTCAAGATAGAGAAGAGTTTAAAATTGTAGTAGCCAACCTCCATTGAGGAGAGGGCACTTTAAGAAGAAGAAGAAGCTCATAAAGCAAAGCTGAAGGTAGTAAAGTCTATTACTTCATCTGAGTTAATAACAGTTTGAGACTCCAAACAGTCGTGTAGCAGAACTAACACCGTTGTTAAAAAAGCAACTAATACTCCTTTGATTAGACCAGAGCCATTCTGTGATGTATCAAAATCCCGCATAATTGAAGATTCCTTAAAATGAACAAGGAACTTATTCTATTCCAGGGATAAACAAAAAAGTTATTAGAACCTTCTGCTCGCTATACAAAAGTAATTTTGCAGCTTCAAAAGACCGCACTCATAGTAATTATAGGTGTCCCCACTAGACCCTGCATACTCAAATACTATTTATATAAAATCGCAATCAGGGCAATTATTCGCCCATGCCATCATACTTAAAGTGGATAGTAGGCTTTCTATCGATTCTATGCAGGTAGAAACCTAGATGGCCTTTCATAAATGGATAGTAAACTTTCTTAGAAACCTAGATATAAGGCATATACAGAAGATCTGTCAGGTAACATTGCCAAATCCATCATATTTACCTTTAAATGAGTTTAGTTTTACTCCTTTATGTTAATTAAAATTTGGGGATGTCTAAAGCACCAAAAAAGAATGTTTAAAATATTGACTAAAATAACAATGGACAACCAGTTGATTAGTTACAGAAAAATGGTGTTAGATAAAAGCCGTTATGAATACAACGTATCAAAAAAAATTCTAAGACACTGACTTAAATAACAAAACAAACTAGTTGATCAATTATAAGAAAATGCTATTTGAGAAGTAATACTTTCTAATACATGGAAATTAAAACAAAAGATAACCAGTTAAACAAAGACAATTAATTGAAGAAAAATGGTGTTCAGGAAGCGCCGTAATGAGAAAACATAGATAAGTCGGTGTTTTGTAATGTCACAAATTACATTAGATATAATATTTGTCCTAAACATCACCAGTTTCTTAATGTTAAGTTAATATAAAATATAAGATATAATTGGACGAATGTGTTTTCCGAACTGTAAGAAAAGAGTTTATAAGACAACAGACAATTGGTAATGATCATAAAACCAGTTGCTTGTAGTAGTACCAAATAGGTAAAATATAGAACCATACCATCAAATACCCTAATACGTTATTTAAACACTTCGATTTTGCATAGATTTTAGCGAAACAACTTTGTAAATCTCCTTTTAAATATTTTAATTCCGCATAATTACTATTAAGCGACTATTTTTGATAAAACACTCGCTTTTCTTTGGTATTTGATCCAATACTTAATATTTACAGATTAAAAATCGCTTTCAAGGGGCGGTTCTCTCTGTCCACTTTCCGACTCATTAGATTCTTCACTAACTTGGCGTACTGAAGGCCTTTCGGACTCGGACCTTCTCCGCCTTTTCTTTCGTCTTATTTTACCTTTTTTATTGACTTCTGGATTACTGCCGTGAAGGCTGCCTCTAGAACCAAATGAGTGGTAACTACCTGCTAAGCTGGGGTGAGATGAGTCAAGTCTTGGAAGTAGTAAGGCGTCTGTGTACGACGGGGGGCCCTGACTTTCTCTGGGATCTGGGGCATTTTGATTGGTTTCTTCTCTATACTCTCTTTGCATTTGTAACATCCTCTCGCGGGCTTCCCGGGTTTCTCTTTCTTGCTGCAGTCTTCTTTGTTCTATTTCTTGGTATCTCTTCTCTCTTGCGTCATTTATTTTTCTTAGTGCTACTATGGTCAGGAGAAGAACTAACATTGATATTAATAAAGCAATGGAGTACCACCATAGGTGATCTTTTTTTTCCGAGGATGGATACCATTGTGACTGACATGCCATTAACCAATTTTGACCATCTACACTTTCAGGGGAATCGCAGATTAGTTCATCGACGAAAGAACCATGCAGCTGCAACCATTCGTAGGTTTCTTTCAACACTGAACAGTCACATCTCCATAAGTTATCTGTGATTGATATTACTAGTATATTTCGAGGAAAATTAGTGTAATGTACTGTCGTTAGGCGGTTACTGGAAAGATCAATTTCTTGTAAGGAAGACATTTGTGAAAAAGTTTTGTTGTTTATAGTTTTGATTCTACAGTCGCTTAAATCTAAGGAGCGAAGGTACTGAGCTGACCAATTGTCCGGCAACGTGGTTATGAAATTTCTTTTTAAAGATAAGTAGGATAACTTTGGTAGTCGAGAAAGAGAGTCTGGTGAGACAGTGCTAATTTCACAATAACTAGCATCTAATCCATTCAATGATACGCTGTTCAAATTGTCTATTGAAGATAAATAGTTGTGTGATACATTTAATCTTATTAAGCTCTTGGTAGAAAAGAAAGCACCTACAGGTATAATATTGAGTTTGTTAAATGACAGGTCTATAGCTTTAACGTATTCCAAACCTCTAAATGCATTTCTATCTATCGAGGTAATCGCATTTAGAGACAAATTAAGGGTTACTAGATTTGGAGTGTTTATAAATTTGTTATTTCTTAGTTCTCGTAACATATTTCCGTATAAATTTAAGCTTCTAAGTTCGCGCATGCTACCATGTGGTATGCTCTCTAAAAAGCTCTCAGATATATCTAAGTAAAGTAATGTTTCTGAGTTAATAGTAATATTTCTAAGAAACCTGTTTTTATTTAAATACAATGTTTCTAATGTTTCTAGGTACGTAAACGCATATTCACTTATTCGACTTAAGTGACAGTTACTTAAGTCCAATACTTTTAACGTTTTTGAGCTCATATTTACTCTTAAACTGCCAATTGGGTTATGTGCTAAATATAATTCTTTTAAATTGGGAATACTTTTCACAAATCCCTTAGGTATTAGTTCAATGGAACAATTATTTAGTAGAAGGCTCTTTAAAGGTTGTAAATTAAAGTGTGATATTGAGAGAACCCTTAGAGGGTTACTAGAAAAGTTCATCGACTCTAATTTTTTTAAATTCACAAATGTTTGTGCCTGTATATCCCTCCAGTCAAGAAAATTGTTGAAGGACAAGTCCAAAGTTGTTAAATTAGACAATCCATTAAAGTCTTGATGGCCCAAGATTGCTATCCGATTGTGTGACATGTTTACATATTTTAGGTGAGGGTAATATTTCAGTCCTGATGGAATTTCTTCTAGGCTGTTGATAGACATATCTAGGCTCATTACCTAAAAATATAATTAGTGTTATTATTACAGTTATAACATCCAATTACAAAAAATAATTACTTTTAATGTTAATACAAAAAATAGATAGATATATACTATAGCAAACCCGTAACAATAAAAAGAACATAATAAACTATCTAATAAAACCAAAATAATGCTAAATCGAGGCTAAAAAGAAGGAAAATAAAAGTGAGTAGCAATATACAGAAGAACCATAGACCCGAAGAACTGGAGACTTTAGTTGAAGGTGAAGGACCAGAAATACTAAAATCAGAAATACTGCATGCTATAAAGTTAGCGAAGAACAAGAAAGCCGTTGGCCCTGATAACATACCGACAGAGATGTTAAAGCTTACAAATGACGAGAACATTGGAATACTGGTCAAGCTTTTCAATGATGTTTATTCAACTGGTGATATCCCTGAAGATTGGTTAAAGTCCAAATTCATAACACTAGCAAAAAAATAACGTCCGAAAAACTGTAGCGATTATAGAATGATAAGCCTTATGAGCCACACTTTGAAAATATTTCTACGCATCATCCACAGTAGAATCAGAGATAAATGTGAAGAAAACCAGGATGAAACACAATTTGGCTTCAGAAATGGACTGGGAACTCGGGACGCCCTCTTTGCACTAAATATATTACTGCAGAAATGTCGAGATCAAAGGAAAGACATCTTTGCTATATTTATTGACTATGAAAAGGCCTTTGATCGAGTACAGCATCACAAATTAATTACAATATTAAAAGATAATAACAACAACCAAATACATGATAATAACAACAAAAAAACAAATATACCAACAAACATACATTTGGAAAATGTACCTACAGAAAGGGTTGATAAATACAAATACCTAGAAACCTGGATTTCAGACAATAATGATCAAACAACCGAAATAAGGGCCAGGATAGAAATAGCAAGTAATGCGTTTGTAAAAATGAAAACAATTCTCTGGAACAAAGACCTTAGATTAGAACTGAGAGTAAGAGTCCCTTTAAAGAAAATGTTTGAGGTCCTCGAAAGGTCCGGATTGGATTCGACGTATATCCGAGAGATATATAAATTATACGAAGATGCAGTTAGTTGTGTAAAAATTGGAACCAGAACTTCAAATGAATTTAAAGTCACTAAAGGCCTAAAGCAAGGATGCTGTTTGTCACCGACACTTTTTAAAATATACGTCCAAGAAGCATTGAGGAATTGGAGAAATAAATGTAGATTTATGGGCATCGAAGTGGGAAGAAACTCTGTATACATTGTTGTTTGTAGATGATCAGGTGGTGGTTGCAACCGATGAGGAAGATATAAATTATATGAATCGAAAATTATTTGAGGAATATGCCAAATGGGGGCTTACTGTAAACATAAGCAAAACAGAATATTTAAAAATTGGAGGAAATAGCACAGATCTGAGGCTTGAAAACGCAGTCATAAAAGGTTGCAACCAGTATAAATATCTAGGAAACATCATATCAGCTGATGGCAGAGTTAAGATAGATGTACAAAACCGAATAACCCAAGGAAAAAAATGCATCCGAATACTGAATTCATGACTGTGGTCTAATAAAATAAAGATGCATACCAAACTTCGTGTATACAGAGCAATTATAGAACCGATTACCACATATGGTGCCGAATGTTGGACGATTACAAAGAATGAACGAGATAAAGTAGACGTTGTGGAAATTGATTATCTTAGAAGGTTATGTCGAGTATCGAGAATGGAAAGAATCAGGAATGAGGAAATACGAAACCGTACAGGAATTAGAGATACTCTTTCAGATAGAATACAAGGAAGGCAATTACACTGGTATGGTCACGTGATGAGAATGGAGGAGGAGCGGTGGCCAAAGAAAGCCTTAATGTATGTTCCGCCAGAAAGAAAAGGGGAAGACCACCAAATTTCTGGAGAAGAAAAATTACATAAACAATGCAATCTAGAGGCTTAGAAGAGGGAGATTGGAGAGATAGGAAAAGATGGAGGCTAAAATGCGGGAAGCGGCAATCGCCGTAGGACCCCCGTTATATGATGATGATGATGACTAAGAGCACTGAGATACTACGTGTTTTTGATACCGCAATATGGACTTGAAAGCTGAACATTGAAGCAAGAACACATAAATAAGTTACAGTCCTTTGAAATGTGGTGTTGAAGGAGGATTCTTAGAATAGTATGGACACAGAAAAAAACTAACACGGAAGTATTGCTAGAAATGGGCAAAGAATGCAATCCAATGCAAATAATAAATACAATAAAAATAAGAAAGTTACAATATCTGGACACGTAATGAGGGACAGCGATATGAACTGCTAAGGCTGATAATACAGGGAAAGATAAGAGGAGGATGGGTTATAGGAAGAAGGAGACTGTCATGGAAATGCAGTTCTATAGAACTCTTCAGAGCAGCAGTAGATAGAGTAAAGATAGTGATGATGATACCCAACCTCCAAGAGATTAGGAATAGTAAATACTTGTCAGTAAGGAGAAGTCTTATTACCTCTACTGTGGGAATTATACTATTTCACTATTGAGAATTTAACCTACTAATTCCCAGAGAAGAACTGTGAGTACATAACACTGCAATATGCTACGGACCAAGGCAAGCCAAAAAGATATTAAAATCTACCGTTTGCTTGAAAAAAATGTATAAACATTTGTGAACAACACTTTAACCATCTAAGGTACGCCGATGACATCGTATTGATAACCGATAAAAAAAAAAGAATTGTTTGAAATGATGAAAGAACTGGACGTAGAAGATGGAAAGATAGGCCTTAATATGAATTACATCATCTTCTCTCCACTGCTGGAGATAGGTCTCTCCCATTTTTCGCCACTTTTCACGGTCTGTGCTTCATGTTGCCATTTCTTGGATATTCGTCTAATGCCGTCCATCCAGCGTGTTGGTGGTCGACCTCTGCTGTGTTTGTCTTCTCGTTGCCGCCAGTCAATTAGTTTTCTGGTCCATATTGTGTCTTTCAGTTTCGCTATGTGACCTGCTCAATTCCATATCAGCTTGACTGTACGTTCGACGACATCACTGATACCTGTTCTTTTCCTTAAGTATTGATTCCTTATTTTGTCTTTTTTGTCAAGCCGAGAATTGATCTTTACATGCGCCTTTGTGCCACTCGCATTTTTAGTGCTGTTGTTTTTGTGAGCGTGAGAGTTTCTGCTCCGTATATCATAATAGAAACAACGCATTGGTCAAATGTCTTCTGTTTCATAGCTATCGGGATGTTGCTCTTAGAGATGTCTCTTAGTGAACCATACACCGACCAAGCAAGTGTTATTCGTCGTTGAAATTCGTAGGTCTGGTTGTCCTTGCCTATTCTGATTTCATAACCAAGACATATGTACTTTTCTGTCAATTCTACTACTTAACTTTGGATGGTTAGGTGTTCGCTGGGAACTAAATTTGTCATAAATTTGGTCATTTTTAGATCTATTGTTGAAGATACGTTTTCTAATTCTTGTAGCATTTGTTGTGCTTCACCCAGATCTTCGGTAATAAGTACTATGTCGTCGGCAAAACGCAGATGATTGAGCATTTCTCCATCTATTTTTATTCCTCTATTTTCCCACTTTAGCATTTTAAAGGCGTATTCGAGGACCGTTATAAATAATTTAGGTGAGAGAGTGTCGCCCTGTCTTACACCTCGCTTGATATAAATTTCTCTGGTGGTATTATGCAGTTTTACACGCATTGTGGCGTTTTGGTATAATGTTTGTATTAACTTTGTAAGCCGGTAATATAAATTACAGCAAGACCAAAATCATAACAAATACAGATGAAGACATCACAATGAGGATCGGACAAGATGAAATAGAACAAGTTCAGGATTATATATATCTGGGTCAAACTTTAAAACTTAACAAAGAAAACCAAACAGCAGAGATAAAAAGACCAGTTAGACTGGCATTTGGCAAATTAAGCTACATTCTTAAAAACAAAAGATATCCACAGCATCTTAAGACCAAAGTATACAATCAATGCGTACTCCCTGTTTTTACTTATGGTTCCCAAACGTAGACATTTACAAAAGCAAACATGGACAAAATAATAAAAACCCAAAGAACAATGAAAAGACAAATATTGCACATAAGACTAATGGATAAAAAGAGAAACGAGTGGATAAGAGAGAAAACAAGTGGATAAGTGAGGGATGTTAGACAAGAAGATGCAAAATTGAAATGGAGATTTGCGGGACACAATATAAGACAAAAAGAAGACCGATGGAAGTTGAAGACCGTGAGAATATAAACGAAGCAGAGGAAGGCCCCAAATGAGATGGGGAGATAATATCAAGAAGCACGTGGGCTCTAGGTGGATGACTGTAGCGACAGACAGAGAAGAATGGAAAAGGATTGGGAAGGCCTATGTCCAAAGATGATCCGAAGAAGGCTAATTAGATAGATAGATGGTTTGCTTGAAAAAGAAGAGAAAAAATAAATCTTCTCTTACAAAAGCAATATTTTGAGCCCATTTCAATAGTTAACAGCTATGTTTTAGGTTTCATGAATGAAGTGGAACACGCGTTTTGTTGTTTTTTCCTAGCAAAAACAGTTAGTAGAAACCAGGAAATCAAATGGAGCTTTATATAAAACCATTGAAAAATACATAATTAGGATATGCTATGGTTTTCTTTATTTCTACCGCTTGTCGGAAGTTGAGTGACCAGCTTTAGTTGAATGTAAACTTTAGATGTTTTGTTTAGATTCTAGATCAAGCTTTGTCCACCCTGTAATTTTTTTAACGTTTTATATGTTCCTGTACAACTATTGCGGGATTATTGCTAATGGTGCAAAATTCAGAAATATATAATTCATCGTTGTGCCTTTATAATGAGGCACTATTAATTCATGATAATTATAATAAGCGTATTATGAAAGCAGTTCAAAATGAGAAGAGATTGTAAAACACATACATTGGTTTTGTAATGAGGTTTTAAACCAAATACTATTATTCTGGGATTTTAATTACCTAGTCA